GTCACCCTTGATGGCGTATGTGCACCCCCTTTATCCAATAAAAGACAAAAGTGAGGTTCAGAGAGACTACATAACTAGCCGAGGTCACTCAGAGAGCAAGCAGCAGACCGAAGATTTCAGGACCCAAAAGGCTCACCCTCTGCATTATTCACAGTTGCCCTCTGGGTGACCACAGGCTGGCACACGGGCATGGTCACAGGTACGCGGTCATGCCTGCTCCAGCTCCACTTCCCAAGGCCAAATTCCTGAGGCAGTGGACCAGAGGCTTTGAGTCAGCAGCTCATTTAGAACGAAGCTGAATAGTGCAGTGGTTAGAAATGTGGGTTCCGGAACCAGCCTGCTGGGCATTCACATAGCAGTTTCACAAAAGCTGAGTGCCTTGGGCTGGCAATGTAGCTCATTGTGAAGGCCCTGGGTTTTTTCCCCAGCTCCCCTACATGACCCCCCCCCCAAAAAAAAAGAAAGTTGGGTGGCTTCACAGAATCTACTCTCCCTGAGCCTTGGGTAATGGAAGTAAATGACTGCACCTAGGCCCAGCATTGTTAGGACTTAAAAAAATAATCCATGTACAGCTCCCAGCAGATGGCTGGGATATAGTAAATGCTCAATTATTTACTCTTCACCTAAAGAGGAAGACACTGAGGGTCATATGTAGTTTTCAAATTTATCCTTGGCAGGGGTTATGAACTTGGGGCCCACAGGTCTCAGAAACTGCAAAAAAAAAAAAAGTGTTCACACTTTAGGAAGAGTCTTCTTATCAGTCTCCTAAGGGTCTGGGACATAAAGGAGGTTAAGACTTTGAGTGCTTAGATCCAACTTCCTACAATATAAACTATTTCAGAAGCAGCAGGATTAGAAAAACTTGGCCCTGGAGTCATAAGGGAAGTTTCTGAGTCCTCAAGAGCCACATGGGCCTTCAGGACTTCTTACTCAGGTCTGCCTGGGGTTCCCAGGGGGTTCCTGAATAAAGATTTGAAAACAAAACAGGGAATGAGCGAGAATCAGGCTTCAGGAACTTTCTCTGGTCGGGCCAGGCCCAATGAGGCATTCTTCCTCAAAGAATAATTGGTGTGTTTCTTTTTGCATACTGTGAATTAAACACATGAGGAACAGCTCACAGAAGCACCCAACTCCTCCTGTCCAGGAGCCAGCTCTAAGGGGCTGTACGCCTGGTCTGAAGCACCTGATTCCCTAAAGACTTTGGCCTCCCCGGACTGGCCTGGCCTCAGGTTCAGCTCGTGTGTTGTTGGAGCCTTTGGCCCAGCGGGCAGGGCCCAAGCTGCCCACTGGACCCTCTCCGGTTGTTCAGACAACTCTCCTCAGGAATTCCGGCCTCCCGGTCTTCCCTGGGTGAGAAGGGGAGAGAGCTGGCAAAGCGGGCTGCTTGGCCGCTCTTCCAACCCCCTGGTGAAAGGGAAAGCTGAAAACCGGAGTCCCTACCCCCAGCAGCAACCAGCCCGATGGCACACAAAACAGCTCAGCCAGAGAGGGAGGAATGTGCCAAGACATTCTTCAGGGTTGGTAACCGGAGACGCTATTTTGTCCGTGGTGGCTAAGAAATCACTTTTCCAACCCAAGGACCATTTGACTGACTTCTTTTAATTCAAATTCTTTTTTTTAAATTATTATTATTTTAAAGAGTAAAAGAAGGATAACATAGTAATAGGGGGGGCTTACCGAATTACAGACAAAGTGGTAGGAAATTATCAATGGTTGTTGTTTTACATATTGTTATCTACAAGATAGTTTCTCAGGAAAACAAATAGACAAATAATAGTGAGTTACAGACAAAAGTGGTAGGAGATTATCAATGGTTGTTATACTATACTTTGGTATCTTCAAAGTGGTTTCTGAAGAAAATAAATAGAGCTATACATGACTATTCTCAATGGTTGTAGGAAACACATAGTAATAAACATACATCCATTTACGAAACAGCATAGGAACAATACAAATGTTACAGAGTTATGGACAGATTAGTAGGAAAATGACTGACTTCTTTTAAATTCAGGGGAATGGGCAGGCATCTCTATGATCAAGGAAAAAGACAAGGGAACACACACACACACACAAGCACATGCACGCACACACATACACACAGATACAGGTGTGCTCTTAAAGGGTGGAACTTTTTTTAATAAATGTGATGTTTGCTTGTTTCACAGCATTGAGTGGTAGAGAAGTGACTGCCCACCTTGCCACCGCAGAAAAATTTAGTTTTCAGCTTTGGTAAATAATTTCCTTCTTCCTGCAGCCCGCCCCCAGTAAAGTCAGGTAGGTTACAAAGAGGCAGAAGGCTCTGAAATCCTATTTGTGAACTGACAGGCCTTGGCAGACCATCTAAGCAACCACTCTCATCGCAGAGCCCTCAAATTTCAGAGAGGTCAAGGAATTCTCCCATGGCCACACAGGCCGGACTGAAAGGCAAAATTTGTTACTGTACAGAAGGGAAATTCCAGAGGACCGAAGGTGGATGTCCTCTGCTCAGCTTGGCACCAAACCTTCACAGCTGGCCCACAACACCTGCCCAGCACAGGTGGGATGATCAGGAGGTGAGACAACGAAGCTTAAAACCTAGTCATGGGCTGGGGATTTAGCTCAGCGGCACAGCACCTGCCTGGCAAGCCCAAGGTCGTGAGTTTGATGCCTGGTACCGGACAAAAAAAAAAAACCCTATTCATATACAAGGTGAAGAGGAGGAGCACCTCCATACCTAATGATTTGTTTCTGACTTCTATTTTTTTTAGCCGATCTTCCTAAAAACAAAGATTGTGCAAGCCTGGAGCTAGGGCTCTAGGAAGGCTACAGTATCCAGCTAAAACATGGTACCCTGCTGGGCACAGTGGCGCACGCCTGTAATCCCAGCACTCAGGAGGCTGAGGCAGGAGGACTGTTGGGAGTTTGAGACCAGCCTGGGCTACAAAGTGAGCTCAAGGCCAGCCTGAACTGCATAGCAAGACCGTGTGTCAACAACAAAAATAATATGGCACCCTTTTTTTCCTTCAACCCCCTTTTTTTCTGGGCTCTCTCCATGTATTGTATTCTTCAAAGGTTTTTTTTCTGTTTACAGCAATATATATTACTAGTTTCCCATTCATGAAAGTGGTATGAAGATGTTTAGAGTTGATCTAAAGTTTAGTATTAAATAAGCAATTGCTCAGATGGCTGTATCAAAAAGTCATGAAAGTGGTCCACCTAAGAGTAAAATTGGGCAAACTGAGTTCTAGCCAAATTAGTTCTTTGTGGAAGTGCATGCTTGCCTTTGTCCAACAGGAAAGAATGACTGGTGTTTGTAGGAAGCTTCCTAAGACTGGATGATTGTTATAGCTGGTGCGGGCAGTCCTCGGACCTCCTTGTGCCTCAGTCTGCAGCAGGGACTTGCTGGAGAGAGACTTGTAAATTTCAACCAGTCTTTTCTAAAGAGGAGAAAGGAATAGGGACAGCCAAGTTCTCCACCACAGCCAGCGCAGCCCCTAGGGCAAGTTACCTGAGGCAATAGAGGTGATAGAGAACCCTGTCCAGAAGACAAATTTGGAGGCTGAACAGGGCAGGACTGTAACTGGGTGTATGCTAGTAGAAAGATGAAACTTCTTGGGCAAATCCCACCTCTGGGCTTCAAATTTTCTCTTCTGTTTAAAAAATGGGAGTTGAGCTCTGATCTGTGTCCACTTCAACTTTCAAGAGTACCGCTATTACTCCTTCCCTTCAAAGCAAATCATCTGCCAGCAGGAAATCAAGGGGCAGCCTCCCTAAGAGACATATTCTAGTGTTAAAATGTCATCTTTCAGATTATAATAAGACATTCCGCATGGTGCTAAGCTCTGAGTAGGCACCCTGGAAATGACGGATGAATAAATGAACACAAGTCCTCAACAGAAACTACCGGGAATTTTAATTATCATCCCCGCCCCACACACACACCCCTTGCTGCACACCCCATCCTGGACTTCTTAGATGCCACCCCCAAGCTCCACTGGATGAGGGGTCCAAAAACCTCACCTCACTTGCTTCACAGGGACCTAACTCTCAAGGACACAGGACCAGGTAAAAATTCCACATTCCTGAAACACCGGCCCAAACCCTATGTCTGCAAAGGATACCAAAGCAGTCTGGGGTAGCAGAAGCGGCCTCTCGAGCCCCAGGTATTACACGGGAGGGTGCGCGTTCAAACCAATGCTCAGCGTCACAGCGGGAGAAAAGTCTGGAGCGGAGCCTCCCCTTGCCTCAGCAAAATTTCACACTACAGCCGGCGTGGTGCCCACCAAGGTCAGGACGCGCTGGTGCAGGGCTGAGGAGCTTCAGTCCCCAGAGGGCAGAGAGGGAGGAAGCCCGGAGGGGCAGGGCCTGATGGGAGTCTTCTCACCTGCATCCGCATCCTCACAGCTTCCAAGTTGCTGAGAGATTCCTGGAGAACCTGTCTCCCTCATCCGGCCTCCCGCTCCTTCCTGCCCTTCCTACTCTCGGCCTCCCTGACTCGCTCCTGCGCTCTGGAGCCCCTCAGGCACCTGTCAAAAAGCACGCTCCACGCTGCCTGCCCCTCGCCCCGCGCCCTTCCTCCGGTCGTCTCCCACCAACCCAGGGTCCCTACCACCCCTACAGGCCAGATCCCATCCCTCGGGCCAAGAGGGCCTCCCGGGAAGACCCGGCTTGCCCGGGCTGGGTCGTGTCCCCCTCCACCTCCCGCCCCCGTCCGACCTTGCTTCCTAAAGGGGCGGGGGCGGGGCTAGCACTTAAGGTCAAAACTCTCGGCAGGTGCCGGCTGGGGCCTAGGTCCTCCACCTGGGGCCGGGGTCGCGGAGCCCGGGCCGACCTCCGCTCTCGGCACCCACTGGGGCAGCAGCGGCGCTCCAGAAAGGGCGAGGGCCAGGGGCAAAGTGAAGAAAGCGCGAGAGGCGCGCGCAGCTCCCCAGCCCTGGCCAGCCCGGCCTCTGGTCCCAAGGGCAGGTGGGGGCCAGGCGGGGGTCCCGGGAGGAGAGGGCTCCTCCCACCCCGGCTCCTACCTGTCCCGCGGGTCGATCCAACTGGTGGTGCGGTTCGTGTGGTCTATGTAGTAGACCTTGCCGTCGAAGTCGCGCGCCTCCTCCCAGCCCTCCGGCAGGGGCAACTCCGGCCGGGGCATCTTTCCGAGCGCCGCCCGCGCTCCCCCATGCAGTTCGCGGCCGCCGCGGGGCTCAGCGGCTCCGGCCAGCCGCCCCGGGTCCAGGGGGCCGCCGAGGCACCATG